ATAGCTCAAACCCTCCAATCCTGGCAACATCCTTGTAAATCTTTCCTGCACCCTTTCAAGTTTCACAACATCTTACCTATAGCAGAGGGACCAGAATTGAATGCAATATACTGAAAGTGGCCTAATCAATTTCCTGTACAGCTGCAACATGACTTCCCAATTCCTATACTCAATGCACTGACCAATAAAGGCAAGCATACCAAATGTCTTCTTCACCACCCTGTTCAGCTGTGACTCCACTTGCAATGAACTGTGAACCTGCACCCCAAAGTCTCTTTGTTTGGCAACACTCCCCAGGACTTTACCATTAAGTGTATACGTCTTGCCCTGACGTGCTCTATCAAAATGCAGCACCTCACATTTATCAAAATTAAACACCATCTGCCACTCCTTGGCCCATTTGCCCATCTGATCAAGGACCTGTGGTACCCTAAGGCAACCTTCTTCACTGTCCACTACACCACCAATTTTGGTGTCATCTGCCAACTTATTAAACATACCTCCAATATTCACATCCAAATCATTTATATAAATGACAAAAAACAGTGGACCCAACACCGATTCTTGTGGCACACCACTGGTTACAGGCCTCCTATCTGAAAAGCAACCCTCCACCACCGCTCTTTGTCTCCTACCTTCAAGCTGATTTTGTATCCAAATGGATAGTTCTCCCTGTATTTCTTTTCATTTATTCATTTGTGGGGTGTGGGCATCGCTGACTGGGACAGCATTTATTACCTGTCCATAGTTGCCAATGAGAAGATGGTGGTGAGCTGCCTTCTTGAACTGCTGCTGTTCATCTGCTGTGGGTTGACCCACAATTCCATTAGGAAGGGAATTCCAGGATTTTGACCCAGCAACAGTGAAGGAACCGTGCTATATTTCCAAGTGACAATGGTGAATGGCTTGAAGGGGAACTTGAAGGTAGTGGTGTTCCCATATATCTGCTGCCTTTGTCCTTCTAGGTGGTAGTGGTTGTGGATTTGGAAGGAGCAAATGCTGTAATCCATACTGAAAAAAATACAGTGCTGGAGATCACAGCTGGTCAGACAGCATCCATGGAGAGAGAGCAAGCTACTGTTTCAAGTCTAGATGCTGTCAGACCCACTGTAATCACCAGCATTGATTGTTTTCAGTGGGTTTGGAAGGTGACGTCTAAGGATCTTTGGTGAAATTCTGCAGTGCATCTTGTCGATAGTACACACTGCTGCTACTGAGTGTTGGTGGTGGAGGGAGTGGATGCTTCTGGATGTAGTGCCAATCAAGCAGGCTGCTTTATCCTGGATGGTGTCAAGCTTCTTGAATGTTGTTTGAGCTTCAGTCATTCAGATATGTGGGGAGTACTCCATCAGACACCTGACTTGTGCCTTATAGATGGTGACAGGCATTGGGGAGTCAGAAGGTGAGTTACTTGCCGCAGTATTCCTAGCTTCTGACCCGTTCTTGTAGCCACTGTGTTTATGTGGTGAGTCCAGTTGAATGTCTGGTCAATGATAACCCCCAGGATGTTGATGGTGGGGGATTCAGTGATGGTAACATCATTGAATGACAAGGGGTGGTGGTTAGATTGTCTCTTATTAGTAATGGCCATACCCTGGCATTTGTGTGGCATGAATGTCACTTACCACTTGTCAGTTCAAGCCTGGATATTGTCCAGATCTTGTTGCATTTGAACAGTATCTGTGGAGTTGCAAATGGTGCTGAACATTGTGCAATCATCGGCGAACATCCCCACTTCATTGATGAAGCTGTTGCAGATGGTTGGGCCTAGGAAACTACCCTGAGGAACTCCTGCAGAGACGCCCTGGAGCTGAGATGACTGACCTCCAACAAGTGCGATCATCTTCCCATGTGTCAGGTTTTGACTCTAACCATCGGAGAGTTCCCCCCCACCTCATTATCCATTTATTCCAGTTTTGCTGGGGCCCCTTGATGCCACACTCAGTCGAATGCAGCCTTGATGTCAAGGGCTGTCATTCTCACCTCACCTCTGGAATTCAGCTCTTTTGTCAAGGTTTGAACTAAGACTGTAATGAGGTCAGGAGCTGAGTGGCCCTGGTGGAACCCAAACTGGGCGTCACTGCGCAGGTTATTGCTGAGCAGGTGCTGCTTGATAGCACGGTTGATGACACCTTCCATCACTTTACTGATGGTCGAGAGTAGACTGATGGTGTGGTAATTGGCCGGGTTGGATTTGACTTGCTTTAGATGCTAGTGTTGTAACTGTACTGGAACAGTTTGGTTAGGGGAGCAGAAAGTTCTGGACCACAAGTCTTCAGTACTATTGCCAGAATGTTGTCACGGCTGTTAGCCTCTGCAGTATCCAGTGTCTCCAACCATTGCTTGATATCACGTGGAGTGAACTGAATTGGCTGAAGACTGATATCTGTAATGCTGGGGACCACTGGATGGATCATCACGAGATGGATCATCCACTTGGCTCTTCTGGCTGAAGATTGCTGTGAAAGCTTCAGCCTTATCTTTTGCACTGATTTGCTGGGCTCTTCAGTAATTGAGGATGGAGATATTTGTGGATCCTCCTCCTCCAGTGAGTTGTTGAAATTGTCCACCACCATTCAAGACTGGATGTGGCAGGACGGTAGAGCTTAGATTTGATCCACTGGTTGTGGGATTGCTTAGATTTGTCTATCAATTGCTGCTTATGCCATTTAGCATGCAAGTAGTCCTGTTTGGTGGCTTTATTAGGTTGAAAAGGCACACCTGATCCTGCTCCTGGCATGCCCTCTTGAACTCTCCATTGAACCAGGGTTGATTGCCTGGCTAGATGGTAATGGCTGAGTGGGGGATATGCCAGGCCATGAGGTTACAGATTGTGCTCGAATACAGTTCTGCTGCTGTTGATGACCCAAAGTGCCTCATGAATGGCCAGTCTTGAGTTGCAAGATTTGTTCAAAGTCTGTTCCACTTAGCACAGTGATAGTGCCACACAACATGATGGAGGTTATTCTCAATGAAGGCGAGACTTTGTCTCCAAGAGGACTGTGCGGTGGTTGCTGATACTGATACTGCCAGCTGCAGATGCATCTGTCTACAAGTATGTTTTTCCTTCTTGTTGGCTCCCTCACCACCTGCCACAGACCCTGTCTAGCAGCTGTGTCCTTTAGTACCCAACCAGCTCTATCAGTAGTAATGCTGTCGATCCAGTCTTGATGGACATTGAAATCCCCCAGAGTACGTTTTGTGCCCTTGTCATCCTCAGTGCTTCCTCTTAGTATTGTTAAACATGGAGGAGTACTGATTCATCAGCTGAGGCAGGACAGTAAGTAGTAATCAGCAGGAGGTTTCCTTGCCCATGTTTAACCTGAAGCCATGAGACTTCATGGGGTCTGGAGTCAAATGCTGAGGACTCCCTCCTGACTGCAAACCTTGCTAATCAGTCTACCATGCAGAACCTTGTCGACTGCGTTACTGAAGTCCCTATAGACAATGTCCAATGCTCTGCCTTCAAAATCTTCTTTGTCACTTCTGTGAAAAACTCAATCAAGTTAATGAGACATGATTTCCCACACAGAAGCCATGTTGACTATCTCTCATCCCTACTTCAACTCATAAATAAAATTGAGGGCTGAGAGAGATCTAGAGTGTTTTAATATTATTCTACTTATTATTTGTTTGGGTATGGTGGAAAGAATAAGGAGAATTTCAGAAGCAGCACAGCCAATGAAATGTCCTAAATCCCAATCATGAGCAACCTGATTCTTGCAAGATATGAAAGTAGGGTCACGAGAAAACATGAGACACATTTTGTCAACTTGAAGTCAGTTATTTTAAGCTTGATCAAATAGTTGAAAACTTAATTGTTTTATCTGATGAATAAATTGGGGGAATGGGACGGCGGGCAAAGAAACCGAAAGCTTTTCTCTGTTCATAAAATTGCATAGATGTGTGTCTATGAAAGAAATAAATCTAATCTGACCAATTAACCAAACCCCTAACATTAGTTTAATTTCAGTTATCAGCAAATAATTTTGACTTTATTATTGCCCAGTTACCTGCTCACTCTGGATTCTGCCAGTGTTTTTCAGCTCCAGTTCTCATTTCAGCCTTGTACAAGCAAGGACAAAGTGGTTAGATTTCTGAGGTGAGAGTGACTGTAACATTTACAGTCGTAGAGTTGTATAGCATGGAAATGGAACATTAGGTCCAACTCGTCCATGCTGACCGGATATCCTAAATTAATCTAGTCCCATTTCCCAGCATTTGGTCCATATCCCTCTAAACCCTTCCTATTCATATACCCATCCAGATGTCTTTTAAATGTTGTAATTGAACCAGCCTCCACCACTGCTCTGGCAGCTCATTATATTCACGCACCACCCTCTGTGTGAAAAAGATGCCCGTTAGGTCCCTTTTATATCTTTCCCCTCTCACCTTATGCCCTCGAGTTTTGGATTCCCCTAGCCTCGATAAAAGACCTTGGTTATTCACCCTATCCATGCCCCACATGATTTTATAAACCTGTACAAAGTCACTCCTCAGCTTCCAACACTCCAGGGAAAATAACCCCAGCCCTCTGAGGCTCTCCCTCTTGCTGAAACCCTCCAATCCTGGCAACACTCTTATGAACCTTTTCTGCACCATTTCAAGTTTACCAACATCTTTCCTATAGCAGGGAGACTAGAATTGAACAGCCATACACTATATGCCAAAAGTGGTCTAACCAATGTCCCATACAGCCACAACATGACATCCCAACTCCTACACTCAATGCATTGACTAATAAAGGCAAGTGTACCAAACGCCTTCATCACTACCCTGTCTACCAGTGACTTTAACTTCAAGGAACTATGAACCTGCATCCTAAGATCTCTTTGTTTGGCAACACTCCCCCAAAACCCTATCATTTCACTGAATATGCTTGATAATAAGCATCAAATGTAAATGTATGTGAGTTTTACTGTCATCTTTATTTTCCAGTTACGTTTTTTAATGGAACACAGATTGTGATTTTTAATATTATAAACTACAATGTTTTACTATTTACAGCCTTTCAGTGGAATCTATCTGAATAATACTGAGCAAGGCATGTATCACTGTGTATGCTGCAATGCTGCACTGTTCAGGTAAGCCAGCAGAGCAAAGCAAAGTCTTATTGTCTGTAATCAGTATTAAATATAGGTGTATCTGATCTTTTTGTGTTTATTCTTTAATATTTAAACAGAAATAACCATTCGAAAGTCTGCAAATGCCTAGCAGGAATGAGAATAACTGCGCAGTAATTCAAAGATACCCAAGCTTTTTGCTTTTTTCAGCTATATGGTGATTATCATATTGTCTTGAGGGTTTTGTCAGAGATTAAATCAATGTATCCATTGACTTGCACATTTCAGAAATAGTGAATATTAAGAGAGCTTGCAGTTTGAATTTAGGATTTACCCTGAGTTTAGTGCTGAAATGAGCCCTACCCAAAACTACAGATCCATGAAAATGGAACAGAATAAACCAGCTAGTATGGAATCTAGGTGCAAATGGGACATGAGACAGAGGTGCTTGATGTGGATGCTCCTGACTGCTGCAGGTATCATAAATGATCAAGGACACCCGACTGTGACAGAACAGCTGGAATCACAGAATACAGTTTCCAAAAGTAATGAAAATCTAAGGCTAGATTTTCCTGTTTTTAGAGTGAGTCTGAAAGCAGAAGCGTTTCCAAGGTGAGAGTCCTCAGCCTATTAAGGTAAGAAAGCCAACCGGATCTATTGGCTGATTGGCTGCTGAAGGGCTTTCTACCAGAATTAGGACCCCCGAGCAGAAAGTCCAATCGACCAACCAGGAACTTTTTGTTTATTAGGTGACGCTGACTGGAGCAGCATTTATTGCCCATCCTTAATTGCCCAGAGAGCAGTTAAGAGTTAACCACATTGCTGCGGGTCTGGAGCCATATGTAGGTCAGACCAGGTAAGGATGACACATTAGTGAACCATTTGGGTTTTTCATTGACGCTCAGCAACGGTTTCATGGTCATCATTAAACTCTTACTTCCAGATTTTTATTGAATTCAAATTACATCATCTGCCATGGCTGGATTTGAATCCAGATTCCCAGAACATTACCTGAGTCTCCGGATTAATAGTCTGGCAATAATACCACTAGGCCATCACCTAACTCCTAGATTAGCTGCCAGCCAGAGGTCAGCCACAGCAGAACTCAGCATCATCAGAGTGGAGGCTGTGGATGTTGCTGGGACGCCACTGTCATCGGTCTCCCAGAGGAGAGGATAACCAATGGGGGAGGTTTGGATGGGGTGTTTGGTTTTAGTTGTGGGTGAGATATAGAGGAGAGCAGGGGTTTGGCAGCAAAGTGGAGATTGGCACATAGCAGTCGGACCAGGTCCAGTCCCTCATTCTGGCTCAAACTATCAAGAGAACATCCCCCATCTCACAGCAAATAAATAAACAAGCAGACTGCGCAGGTTTACCAGTGAGGTAGATCCAATCTTTCTGATTCCATGTGGAGCTGAGGTAGTTGCAACCTGTGGCACTTCTGTGTCCCTTAATTCCGTTGACAGCCATGCTGGAAGGTCGAGCTTGGGTCTTGCTGCCAGAACCTAATTAGGGAAAGGTCATGAAGAAGCATGGGTTCTGGCCCTCCATCTCTAGGCCTGAAAGATTGCACAGTAAGAATCAAAGTTGTCAATCTGCAGTAGTGAAATGAAATTTGACTGCCTGTATCATTTTACAGTTTCTCACTTATGAATGACAGTAAAACTAGTCAACTTCACAACTAAATTTTAATGCATTTTAAGTACCCTGCTGTTTTACTTTAATATTTCCTTTTAAAGATTTTTTAACTAAAATAAATTAACTTAAAGATCAGCAGAAATTTCAGATGGGCTGATGTTTTGGATTTTTGATCAAGATTATGGGACATTTGATTACAGGAGCAGAAATTAGGCCATTCGGCCCATCAATTCTACTCCACCATTCAATCATGGCTGATAAGTTCCTCAACCCCATTCTCCTGCTTTCTCCCCATAACCCTTGATCCCCTTGATAATCAAGAACTTATCTATCTCAGTCTTAAATATACTCAATGACCTGACCTCCACAGCCTTCTGTGACAAAGAATTCCACAGATTCACCAGTCTCTGGCTGAAGAAGTTTCTCCTTATCTCCTTTCGAAAAGGTCTTCCCTTTACTGTAAAGCTGTGCCCTTGGGTCCTAGTCTCTCTTATCAATGGAAGCATCTTCCCAACATCCACTCTGTCCAGGCCATTCAGTATTCTGTAAATTTCAATTAGATTCCCCCTCATCCTTCTAAACTCCAATGAGTACAGTTCCAGAGTCCTCAAACTATCCTCATATGTTAAGCTTTCCATTTCTGCGACCATTCTCATGAACGTCCTCTGAACCAGCTCCAGGGCCAGTACATCGTTCCTGTGATATGGGGCCCAAAACTGCACACAATTCTCCAAATGTGGCCTGACCAGAGCCTTATAAAGCCTCAATAGTACATCCCTGCTTTTATATTCAAGTCCTCTCAAAATAAATGCCAACATTGCATTTGCCTTCCTGACTACTGACTCAACCTGCAAGTTTACCTTGAGAGAATTTTGGACTAGAACTGCCACGTCTCTTTGCACTTCAGATTTCTGAATTTTCTCCCCATTTAGAAAATAGTCCATACTTTTATTCTTCTTACCAACGTGCATGACCTCACACTTTCCCATGTTGTACTCCATCTGCCACTTATTTGCCCACTCTCTTAACCTGTCCAAATCCTTCTGCAACATCCCCACCTCCTCAATACTACCTGTCCCTCCATCTATCTTTGTATCATCTGAAAACTTGGCCAGAATGCCCACAGTTCCTTCATCTAGATCATTAATGTACAAAGTGAAAAGTTGTGGTCCCAACACTGACCCTTGCAGAACAGCACTTGTCACTGGGTGCCATCCTGAGAAAGACCCTTTTATCCCCACTCTCTGCTTTCTGCCAGACAGCCAATCTCCTATCCATGCTAGCACCTTGCCTCTAACACCATGGGCCCTTATCTTACTTAGTAGCATCCTGTGCAGTACCTTGTCAAAGGCCTTCTTGAAGTCCAGGTAGATAACATCCATTGGCTCTCCTTGGTCTACCCTGCTCATTACTTCCTCAAAGAATTCTAGCAGATTTTTCAAGCATGACCTCCCCTTGATGAAACCGTGCTGACTTTGCCCTACTTTACCATAGACTTCCAAATGATGGATGCACATCCAAGGGAATTGGTGCTAATATCAGTGATATTACAGCAAAAGAGGTTTCCTAGTTCCTATTTTCCAGTTTCATTCTTGTTTATTTGTTAGCTTTAACTTCCTGAAAATTCCTTACATGAAATACATAGGTCCTGATTAAAGAGATGCTGGCAGCATCAGTCACAATTAGGAATCTCAAAATATTTAGGACATAGAACTGGAGATGTTTTTGAACATCTGCAGTTTAGTTATTAGCATAAAATAATACAAAGAAGAAAATAGAGAGAGCCAGGAAATCCTTGAGAGAGAGAAATAATCTACAGAATACGGAGGGTTCCAAAGTCAATGGTAAGCATGTAGCTCACATGAATGTGTGGCTCCCACATCTGCAGTTGTATAGAGAAGGAGTTATATTCACATATCAATCTACTTCTATTGTATACCTATGTGAGTAATGTTACTCACTGTCACTGATTACCAACCTCCAGAAAAATATTTTGCAGGATAAATGCAAACTTATTACACACAGTCATCATTTTAGCCATGTCGATGTTATGCTCTGGAAATCACTTCCCAAGTCCCTTCACCTCACCGCCTTTATTCCTTCAAAAACCTTTTTAATATCCATTTCCTTTGCTCACCCCTCCTAATATCATTTTCTCTGGATCAGCAACTATTTTTGTCTAGTTACACTTCTGTTAAGTGCTTTAGGATTCTTTTCTATATTATAAATACTATGTAAATGCAAATGATTAACTATTGATATTGGAACATAATTGAATGGAAACTCCCAGTGTTATATAACCTTTTATAGAGTCATAAAGATGTGCTGACACCTCCAAGGATCTTATGAAAGGTTTGACGTAAACTTGATTGATTACAAAAACAGTAGACAAGACAATCTATTTTCCATCTTCACTAAAGGTAATTCCCCTAAGTCAATGAAAATTCCGAAATTCTATATAAGAAGCAATTGATAAGTTAATAGTAGAGGACATAAATATAAGACCTTCACCAAATGGAAAGGCTAAAAGATATCTTCTTGAAGATAGATAATTTGAGATGAATGTCCTAGTAGAAGCAATGTTAGAAGCAGAATTAATAATTCCCTTGAAAAGAAAGTGGATAAATATTTGAAAAATAAAGTGTTGACAGGATACAAGATAAAAGAAATGAATTTGAAGTAAATAATTTTTCGAGTGCCTTGCAGTGGATGGAACAAATTCCTGCAGTGCTGTAATATTCCATGTAATATGATAAATACATTTTTAAAAATCCCACGTACATTTAGAGTCTTTATTTTGTATGAAGATTGCAGTATTATAGTATATCCTCTTTATCTGTGTTCTCTTTTTATCTGTGTTTATTTGCAAATGATTAAATTAAGAGCTGTATTGATATAGTTGATAGTAATTAATTTGTTATACTTTATATGGTTAACATTAGCTCCGAAACTAAGTACGATTCTGGCACCGGTTGGCCTTCTTTCTGGCAAATTTATGGTACAGTGGACAGTGATGAAACCAATACCAATGTCCTACGCCGAACAGATAACTCTATGGGATCAACTGGAACAGAGGTTATTTGTAAGAAGGTAGATATCAACCAATCTTGCCAAAAGTGATGTCAGTTTCTAATCAAAATTCATTCTTGTTGTTAAGTCACCAATTTTCCAGTACATATGTATTAGTATATATGTATTATCAGGGTAAACTACCTCCCATCAATGAAAATAAAGGTTGACTGCTAGAAGATGATTGTCCAGAACTAACTTTTAAAAAGGTCACCACTGTCAACTTAGTAGAACTTAAAGTGCTTTACACTTTGATTTGTTTCAAAAGAAGCCCCTCAGTACTTGGTTAAAATATGAGATGGCCACAGGGAAGGTTACAGTATTATCTTTTCGCAAATACACAGTGCTTCTATCAAATTTTACGATAACTTTACAATTTGTAACTATAATGCTTAGCTATGTCTGATTTATAACATACAGCTACTTTTAGAAGTGGTTAAAAATGTTTGCTGTTAATGGCTGATGTTATGTTTTGATGTTGAGAGCCCTTCCCCGTAAAACTAACATTTAAACTATATAAGCACCTGCTGCTGATTTAATTTTGAAGATTTAAGACTGCTTCAAGGGCCTGCCCATGTTGGCTATAAACAGGTCCAGGCAGTGGGCTGTGGAGAAGGTCACATCTGCTGACTGCCTGTCTCTCTTCATGCCCCGGAGTCCTTGAGGAAGTATGTGGTGTCCATCAATGTTCTCAGTACCTTCAGAGAAGGTGGGCACCGGGGAGATATAGTGCTTTATTTCCCCCTCCAACTCCATTTTGAATTAGCCCCTTCCCTTTCTCCTTCCCTTCCCCTCATTTTGATGGTTTATATTGCCCACAATGAACTATGCTTGTAAATATTTGATTGGCTACATGGGTGATTACTGGTGGCGATTAGTAGTGTAAAAAAACACAAAAAAAAGTTACAGTGATTTTGGTGGTGGCAAAGTCACTCAGTTGTGTGTGATAATACTTCTGGGTAGAAAAAATAAAACTGCTTAAAAGACATTCTTAGCATTGTGTCAAGCCAACTGAACTCTGTTTTATCTTGATCATTTAGTGTGATGCACACCTGGGTCACGTGTTTGATGATGGACCAGAACCTACAGGACATCGATTTTGCATCAACAGCATTGCATTAACTTTCAAACCCAAGACAACAGAATGATTTGTAACAAAACATTGTGCAGTAATTTGTTTTGTAATAACTGGTTTAACCTAGACTGATGGCCCAACAGTGTCAATTCCATAAATTAATGCCACTAATTGCTTCCCTAGTGGCTTCTTCTGAGTGGTACAAACTTTAAAATATTTATTGTGCATTAACAGAAAAAACAAATTGTATGCATTGGTGTTTGTGTCAAGATATTAGAGACTGTTTGTCATTGTCAGTGTTTACAGTATATGATCCACTAGCCATATAATTTTGGAAGAAAGTAATGTTAAATTAATATCAAAGTGATTTTATTTTGTGCAAATAATGTTTAAAATATCATAAAAATGTTACATTATCAGATATAAAGTAGAAAATGCTAGTGATACACTGATATAAAATGATAGGTTAATGCTTTGAGTAGAGATCCTTCATCAGAATCCAATCCTACCTATAATATTGTATTCTTGCTTCTTTTGGAATTGCCTAAAATGATGGGCCTTTCTCAAATTTGCAGTTTTCCTCTTTGCAGCATTAAACTTGTGGCCTCCCAGCCTAAAGTAACCAACATTTAAGAAGTCATGTAGATGGTGTTTTCATTGCAATAACAACATTTTCTAAGTAGTATTCAAAACTAAAAATTACGTTTCATTTATGCAAATACCTTCATGCAACTAGATTTCCTAGCTATCAAGAGGATCCACGACTCTTCAAACTACAACCCTCAATTTACTAGAGATAATTGTGTGACTTATAGTGTAAATAAATGTATTATGTAATTTTGAAAAATCAATTATTACTTCACTGTTTACATAAATATCTATTCTTATAGATGATGAATGCCATCTAATAAGACCATAAGACATAGGAGGAGAAGTTAGGCCACTCAGCCCATCGAGTCTGCTCTGCCATTCAGTCATGGCTGATAAGTTTCTCAACCCCATTCTCCCGCTTTCTCCCCATAACCCTTGATCCCCTTGACAATTAAGAACCTATCCATCTCCATCTTAAATATACTCAATGACTCCACAGCCTTTTGTGGCAAAGAATTCCACAGATTCATTACTTTCTGGCTGAAGAAGTTTCTCCTTATCTCTGTTCTAAAAAGTCTTCCCTTTACTCGGAGGCTATGTCCTCTGGCCCCTGGTCTCTCCTACCAATGGAAATATCTACCCAATATCCACTCTGTCCAGGTCAGTCAATATTCTGTAAATTTCAGTTTAATACCACTCATCCTTCTAAACTATATTGAGTATAGACCCAGAGTCCTCAAACCGTCCTCATATGTTAAGCTTTTCATTCCTGGGACCATTCTTGTGAACCTCCTCTGAAACCGCTCCAGGGTCAGTACAACTTTCCTGAGATATGGGGCCCAAAAATGTGCTCAGTACTCCAAATGTGGCCTGTCCAGAGCCTTACAGAGCCTCAGAAGTACATCCCTGCTTTTATATTGAAGTCCTCTCAAAATAAATGCCAAAGTTGCATTTGCCTTCCTAACTACTGACTCAACCTGCAAGTTTACCTTGAGAGAATCCTGGTCTAGAACTCCCAAGTCTCTCTGCATGTCAGACTTCTGAATTTTCTCCCCATTTAGAGAATAGTCCATACCTCTATTCTTCTTACCAAAGTGCATGACCTCACACTTTCCCACGTTGTACTCCATCTGCCACTTATTTGCTGGCTCTCCTAACCTGTCCAAATCCTTCTGCAGCCTCTCCGACTCCTCAATATTACCCATCCCTCTAGCTATCTTTGTATCATCTGCAAACTTAGCCAGAATGCCCTCAGTTCCTTCGTCTAGACCATTAATGTATTAAGTGAAAAGTTGTGGTCCCAACACTGACCCTTGTGGAACATCACTTGTCACCGGCTACCATCTTGAGAAAGACCTTTTTAACCCTGCTCTCTGCCAGACAGCCAATCTTCTATCCATGCTAGTACCTTGCCTCAAGTACCATGGGCCCTTATCTTACTCAGCAGCCTCCTGTGCAGCACCTTGTCAAAGGCCTTCTTGAAGTCCAGGTAGCTAACATCCATTGGCTCTCCTCGATCTAACCTGCTCATTATTTCCACAAAGAATTCAAACAGATTTGTCAGTCATGACCTCCCCTTAATGAAGCCATGCTGACTTTGCCCTATTTTACCATGCACTTGCAAGTATTCAGAAATCTCATCCTTCACAATGGACTGTAAGTTCTTACGTATGACCAAGGTCAGGCTAATCATCCTGTAATTTTCAGTCTTTTGCCTTACTCCTTTTTAAACAGGGGTGTCACATTAGCGATTTTCCAGTCTTCTGGGACCCTCCCTGACTCTAGTGATTCCTGACAGATCACCACTAACGCCTCCACTATCTCTTCAGCTATCTCCTTAAGAACTCTGGGGTGTAGTCCATCTGGTCCAGGTGATTTATCCAACTTCAGGCCATTCAATTTTTCTAGCACCTTCTCCTTGGTGATGGCCACCATACTCAGCTCGTCCCCTTGACTCTCTTGAAGTTTTGGGATATTACTCGTGCCTTCCACTGTGAAGACTGATGCAAAATAATTATTCAGTTCCTCAGCCATTTCCTTGGTCCCCACTACTATCTCTCCAGCGTCATTTTCAATGTCCACTTTTGCCTCTCTTCTGCCCTTTATATATCTCAAGAAACTATTACAGTCCTCCTTTATATTACTGGCTAGCTTATCCCCATATTTAATCGTCTCCCTCCATATTTCTTTTTCTGTTGCCCTCTGTTGATCTTTGTAAGCTTCCCAATCCTCTGGTTTCCCACTGCCCTTCACCAGATTATATGCTTTCTCTTTTGCTTTTATGCTATCCCTGATTTCAATAGTCAGCATATTGGTTGCCGCATCGCCCCTGTACCATGCTTCTTTTGTCTGCTGGTGAATTTTTGCTGTGTTTCCGGGATTACTCCTAGAAACTCCTGCCATTGCTGTTCCACTGTCATTCCTGCTAGGCTCTTCTCCCAGTCAGTTTTGCCCACCTCCTCCCTCATGCCTCTGTAGTTGCCTTTATTCAGCTGTAATACTACTACCTCTGATTCTGTCTTCTCCCTCTCAAATTGCATAGTAAATTCAATCATATTATAATCACTGCCTCCTAAAGGTTCCCTCACCTTAAGCTCTCTTATCAAGTCTGCCTCATTGCACAACACTAAATCCAGTATTGCCTGTTTCCACGGGCTCCACGACAAGCTGCTCTAAAAAGCCATCTCGTAGACATTCCACAAATTCCTTTCCTTGCAATCCAGTACCAACCTGATTTTCCCTGTCCACCTGCAGATTGAAATCCCCAATGATCATGTAACGATGTCTTTCTTACACACCTTTCCTGTCTCCTATGCCCCAGTGCCTGACTACTGTTTGGAGGCCTGTACATAATTCCAACTATGGTTTTTTTACCTCTATGGTTCCTCAACTCTACCCACACAGATTCTACACCATCTGACCCTATATATTGAATGAGCTATTATGAAATGGTAATTGTTTAAAATGAGTTCAGTCTCTAAATTGGACAATCTTTTATGAGGAGGCAACAGTGGGCAGGATAATTATTAATCAATACATTTGTTTAATAATCTGATATCAGACGTCTGGTATAAGAGACCTAGTCACTCCTAAGCAAATAACTTCTGCTAACATAAATAATGTAAAAGTTAGTGTCACAGTTCTTCAACTGCAAATTGAAACTAAATTTTACTATGCATTCAACCACAACCTCTTTGGACTCTGCCAGTACGTCAACAATCATTGTTTCTTTCCTCCAGGAAGTCCATTCATTCATGAACAATATCCTGGCATTCATGAACAATATCCTGGCATCCATGACCTTATTGTGAATGACTACTCACATCTTGCCAATCTTGTTCATTGCTAAAGTCTGCATGCCTGAATTTATTTTCCACCATTCTGTTTCACTGTACCAATTTAAGAAATCGTCTTTTCGAATTCTTGAATCTCAATTCTTGAGATCAGAAATAACATACCAAGGACCCCACCTTGGGATCCTAGCTGACCTGATTCAAGTTTGAAACAGTAAAGCCAAATATTCAGGCATTGGTTCCAGTAACTTATCTGCTCAAAGATCCACATCTTAACCAAGAGTTATAGATAGGTGGGTAGTAAGAGCCTCAGAAGTAATTGAGAAAGGGGAAAAAAAATCTTCAATGCCAGTAGATGGTCATTAATGAATCATTCTCAGTTTATGGAGTTAATGCTTTCCTTCTATACAATTTACTTTTACAAAACAAAATTTCACCTGGAATATAGTACAGACAACAAAGGCTACCCTTTTTGTTTGACATATCTGAGGCAATCCTTTACAACTGGTTCTAATGCATCTATGCTGGTGGAAAACTGGCACATTCTTAAACTCATTTGTCGACAATGACATTCTACTTTAGTTTTAAATATAATTGAATATATTGCTATTAGTGATTTACTGCAGGTAAAGTCTAAACCAGCTTTGGAATGATTGAAAGCAGCAAAGTAAGTTGGTATATTGACAGGGTACACTGCTATCTTTCTTCCAGTTAATGCTACTTAAAATGGTATGTCTCTGAAAACGATAGAAATAAAAAGCTGTTTTGTTTAATACCTAAATTCTTATTTAGGACATTTAATAAGTCAAAACGGATGCACTAGAAAACAAAAGTACAGAAAGCAGATTATAATTAACAATGCACACATTCGTCACAAACCCATATCATGTGTTATTACGGAGCTGGGACTGAGTTTCTGTAATCTGAAAGGAAGACAACTGCAAAACACAAAGGTGACACAACCGAGGCTAACTCTTCGTTCATTCCCACACCTATTATTTGATTGTGAGGATCTTTGGGTGTCCTGGGTGTGATGGATTACCAATTAATGTAATTTGTTACTTCATCCTGTGGTAAATATGTGATTTTAAGGGATCAGACATTGTAAAAGTTAAATGACTTCAGATTTATATTAGAATTGCTATTCTGCACAATTCCACAGTATTCAGACTGCAGGTGTTGGGTACATCACGGAAACTCATGCAAGCTAGAACAGCACTTGTTCTTTTACGAAGCAAGGCTTTGGAGAAGAACAAAGACCATTTCCAATTACCTATGTCTTGGCTCTTATCTATTTAATGTCAGGGTGAATGTAAAACTTACGTAAACTATCGAACATAACTAAATGAATTCATTTTACTAATCTTCAGTATTAAGCTTTGTAGACCATTGTTTGTAATTAAGATTTGCAATTTGCATTTTTAATTAAGCTAAGGTAGTCTTATTAACTTTGTCATAATCCTCTTAGAATCAAGGGAAGGCATGTTAAAACATAGGCCTTTACTGCAATACAAACAACTTTGTCATCAAGATCCTGGATTATGTCATCACTATGGAAATGGAAAAAGTTCATTGGGAGTGTTAAGGCTGGACAGCAGATTAGCAAAGTTCAAAAGGCTATGTCACCAAAGACATTTTCGTATGGACTCATATATGACTGGATGGATTTGGGAGTATGTCCCACTGGATAATTTTGAATGGTTATGAGCAATGTAATTCTCAGCTGTTCTCTGTAAATACTGCT